TGAGGGAGCGGCTGGGTGGGCATGGGGAGGGGAGGCTCAGCCAGAGGCAGAAGCCTGGAGCAGTGGAGAGGGGTGTGGTCGGGGCGCCAGATCACAGGGGGCAGCAGGTGGCATGGCCTCCCCTCTATGTGAGATGGGGACCCGCTGGAGGGTCTTCAACAGAGGTATGATGTGATGTGTTCTGAACAACATCTTCAAGGGTCACTCTGGCAGACAGACCCCTTCTTAGAGGAGACAGGGCAGACAGGAGGAGGAGGAGGGAAGATGGGGAGAGGCAGGAGAGAGGAGGAGAGAAGGAGAGGACGGGGAGCAGGGAGGAAGGACAGGAGGAAGGATGGGGAGAGGAGGAAGAGGAGAGGGGGAGAAGGAGGGGAAGGGGAGGTGAAGGGGACAGATGGAACAATCCAGGCAGGAGGGCAGGAGGGCAGAGGTAGCAGTGGAGATGATGGGAGGTGGGACTCTGGTGCTGCAGGGGGTGGGGCAAAGGGCAGTGTCACCAGGGCGGAGGACATGTCTGATAAGAGAGAGCCTCCAGGCTCTCAGCCCCTCACCACCAGCCCTCTGGTTTCAGCGAGAACAGTGTTTGAGGACCCCAGGTGGCTGTAACAGTACCTTGAGTATGTCAAGCGATTCCACCTGGAGAAAGCCCCAGTCTCCAGTGTGGATGGTAAGCGCTGCCCTCCGGCCCCTTCCTCTCTGGCGCAGGTGAGCCCAGCTTGGGGGAGGGCCTGCAGCCTCTCATCCTGACCTGGGAACCCCGGCTACGACAAGTCCAGTAGGATTCGAACCACGGACCCCCTGCTCCACGCTCGTGTGGTAAGGCTCCTGTGAACACTTTACCTACCGGGTCTCACAAGCCCACCCAACACAGAGATGCGGGTGGGTGTCAGTCGGCCCAGAGAGGTTCCAACCCAGACCCAGGCTCGGCCACCAGGCAGAGGAGGAGCTGGGGACTGACACAGACCCCAGACTCCTGAGCCCCAGCGCCCCTGCTCCCCGGTGCCCTCCCCTTGCTCATCTTTCAGTCAATCAACAAACCCGTGGGCAAGCCTTGTAGGGAGGTCAGACAAGTCTAGAGCAAGACAGACATGCCCCCCACTCCCCCAGCCCTTGCACAGGTTACCTTACAGCAGGGAGGGCAGGATGAAAAACAATTAAGTGAAGTAGTTAATCTGTTAGAGACAAGTGTGTAAAACAGAAACCTGGGGTGGCGGGGGTGCAGGGATGGAGGCGTGGCCTGCAGTGAGGGGAAGAGGGGATGGGAGGGTGACTGTACAGTGCCGTGGGGTAGGGGCTTTGCCATGCTGTGAGGGGTGCCCAGGATGGCCTCACTGGACAGGCGCGCTCTGTGCAGAGTCTCAGGGAGACGACAATATGTAGAAGCGGGAAGGTCAGGGCTCCCACGATGGGAGGCGCTGGTGTGGGGGACAGCGCGGAGGCCTGTGTCTGGAGCAGAATGAAACTGGACAGCTGGGGCGGGGTGGTGTTACCGCGTCGGGTCAGGTGGTCCTTCGTGAGGACGGGGGCTGTTGCAGGACGCTAACTGGGGTGGGGTGGGGGTGAAGTGGTATGGCAGAGGGAAGGCAAGGGACAGTGTTGCTTTGTTTTGCTTGGCAGACTGATCACTTGTTTGGAGAACAAATGGAAAAAGACCTGGGAATCACCCTGTTTCTCCCCCCTCCTCAGGCCAGTGTCCCCCACCAGAAGCCCAGGTGACCCCCTGAGTCTCAGGCCTGGGCCCCTCTTTCCTCTGAGCTGCCCTTGGCCTCCCTTCCTTCTCCCCCTCCACCTGTGCCTGCTGCGGAGTCAGCCCAGGGTCCTTCAAACCTGTCCTCCCAGGGCCCAGAGGAAGCCCCTACAGCTTGGAGCCCAACCCCGCAGCTTTTCTAGCCCCCCTAGGAAGACCTCTTCCTCCATGTGGATTTTGCCAGCCAGCAACCAAGAGCCCCCAGGTACTCCCAGCTGCAGGGGCAGTGAGGAGGGGCCACGCTGGCCCACCCCCTCTCAGATGCATTTCCGTTCTTCAGACACCCTTGTAGCGGGTAGCGTTAGAATCCTGGCGTGTGCCGCCATCATGCAGACTGAAGACACCACAGGTAACTCAGGAACCACGACTCTACCAGAGACCGCTCCTGCTGACCTGCCTCCAGCCGACCAAGTTGAGGAGGCTCCAGGAGAGATGGCCGTCTGCTCCGTGAGCAGATGCAGCCATCCCGCCAAGTTCTGTGAATAGGGTCACCGCAGCTCCAGATCATGGTCCCTGACAAGAACCAGCCCTGCAGTTGGGCTGTGCTGCCAGATCAACACAGACCCTGTGCCGTGCATGGCAGGTGAGCTGAGGACAGGTTAACACCCTCTCCACAAGGGCGGGTGCCTGGACAGATAGGAGCCAGTCCACCCACAGACAGGGCAGGCTCTTAGAAAATTGGGTCAGGGACTTCAATACTCAGATGGGAAATTCTGGAGACAGGTACGACCAGGTGCCTTCTCAAAAAACAGTCAGCAGAGGTTCTGGACGCAACCACACTTCAGCAATGCAATTTCCTGGTGGTCCCCCAAGGTCGCTACTGTGAAATAAAGAGTGATATTTAAACCAAATGGCCAGTTGTGTGGGATTTTGCCTATGAAGAAGTCAAAGCTGGTAAACCTGATTACAAAACAAATACACAAAATACAATAATTTTCCTGTAAACTAGCTGACTCAGAAAAATATACTGGAAAAATTATAATCACAAAGCATGTACTCATACATTTAATAAGAACTCGTTCCATCTTCAAGTTCATTAGGGATTCTCTGTCCTCTTCATTCTGCTGTTGAGTCCATTCGTTGAGGTTTTTTTGTTTAATTTCTATGATTAGAACTGAAAATAGTTCTAAAATTTCCATTTTATTCTTGTTTAAATCTTATATTATCTTACTGAGACTTTCTGTTTCTTTGCTGAAACTTTCTGTTTTTTCATTTGCTTCAAATGTGTTTGTAATCGTTTGTTGTCATTGTTGTTAGATGCCATTGAGTCAATTCTGACTCATCGTGACCCCATGTGACAGAGCAGAACTGCCCCATAGGGTTTCCTAGGAACAGATCACCAGGTCTTCTCCCAGAGAGCTGCTGGGTGGGTTCAAGCCACCAACCTTTCAGTTAGCAGCTGAGCACTTAACTGTTTCGCCACCACGGTTCCTTCTGTAATTTCTCACTGAAACATTTTTATGAGTGGTGCCTTAAAATCTTTCCTAGATAAATCCGATGTCTGGGGTATCTCAGTGTGGGTGTCTATTGGTTGTCTTTTCTCATTCAAGTTGAGATTTTCCCGGTTCTTGGTGTAACAGTGATTTTTTTATTGTATCTTGGACATTTCAGGTAATGTGTGATGAGACTTTGTCTTATTTAAATCTTCAGTTTTAGCAGACCTTCTCTGACACTGCACAGGTCAGGGAGGGGTACCATGTCATTACTGCCTAGTTGGGGTGCAAGTCTAGGGCCCCTGGGTGGTGCATATGGTTAAGCACCAGGCTACTAACCAAAAGATTGGCTGTTCGAATTTACCCAGCAGTGCCACAGAAAAAATGCCTGACAATCTAGTTCCATAAGATTACAGCCATTGAAAACCCGATGGAGCACAGTTCTCTGCACACATGGGGTTGCCATGAGTCAGAATTGACTCAATGGAAACTAGTTTGGTTTTTTAGATTACCTTCTAGTCCATGAACTGATCATGAATGTTCTTTACAATTTAATTGCCATTGTTTTGGGAATACTTTCTAAGCCCGTCTTTTTCTTCATAAAGAGGATTAAGAATTGCACCTTGTTGTGACTTCAGAACCCCCAGTTCTCTTTTGTGGTTGGCTGCTGTTGAGTCGGCCCCCAACTCCATGCACAATACAACAAAACTCTGCCTGTTCCTACGCCATCCTCATGATCAGTCGTGGGTTGAACCGTTGTGAACCATCGGGTTTTCACTGACTGATTTTTGGAAGAAGATCTCCAGGTCTTAACCTGTTCAGCATCTCAGCAACATGCAAGCCTCCACTGACAGATGGGTGGTAGCTACACATGAGGTGCATTGGCCGGTAACCAAACCCAGGTCTCCCTCATGGAAAGCGAGAATTCTACCACTGAACCACCATGGCCCCCATCCAGTTCTCATAATTGCTTTATAATGCCTCACTACATTATGGAATAGTCGCAGCCAGCACTCTGCTTACATGACTCACGGAGGTGTTGGCTCCCTTTCCTAAGCCCCACGTCACTAGCCACAGCTTCCTGGTGACTTTAGCACTTTTGAGATTGTCAAAGAAATATTTATGATCAGTCTCATCTCCCTGCTAGAACACAGGTTGCTTAAGGACACAGTTATGTTTTTAGCAACTTTTCTGTCCTTGATGGCATCTAGCAGAGTGAGTTCACCATGGAGCTCAGTAGATATCTTTTGTTAAAGAAGTAAATGCCTATAGCTTTTTTTTAATGACATTTTTGAAAACCATCTCTCTTTGCAACAATAAAAGTAAGATACGTTTTTGGTAGAATGTCTCTAGTTCACTTGTGTCCAGTCATATACTGGACAGATTGAGGATCAGTCCAGGGGGTTAAATGCAAGCAATACGTATCGCAACACTGGGAAGCATGATGAGTGAGATGAGAAATATTTATTGGCATAAATAAATACTTATTACACTTCGACCCTTTTGTGTATACTTTTTCTCTGAACAAAAGTCTGGGTGTGTTTCTTCGTTAAAAAAACTATGTTATGCCTCCAAAACTATTTCCACGTTATCTGCAATAGATAGATTACAACATCACTGTGTATTACTGTTAAATAATCAGCCATTTATTCTTTATCTTGCATTGGCAGGTTTGGATGGTTTAAAATTACAGGGAGAAAATAATATTTTCTTTTTGAAGAGTGTAAATTTTTATAAGTCTTTAAAAATGGGAAGTTTTAAGGTGTCCTATACATATGAGAAATTGTGATTCTCTTATCAGTCCCTCAACGTCATAAGCATCAGCCCCTTTCTGATTGCCACGCCACCTTAATATACGTAATCTGTGGGGGAAGATGAAACTTGGGGTCCCAGTTGTATTCTGGTGATAGCAGCTTGCTGGGTTTATTGATGAAAAAATATTTGTTCAGATGGCTTTCATACGTGCTGTTGAGTCTATTTTTGGTGTCATGGACAACACCCTTTAGATACTTGTCAATGAGAGTTAAAACCTCCTGAGGTGTGCCACCAACAATTGAGCTGTCGTAATAGAAATCTCCCAGTCCGAACGGGATGCAGGCTGCTGACCAAAGCCTTCTCTCATAGGGAAAATTCTTAGTGTTTTTAAAATACCACCACCCGTGGAGCTGAGCCACAGACTTGCCCAGGGTCTCCACCCCAAAGTCATTCTGGAAGACCTGGTTGACGGCCATGCTGAAGAGGAAGTCGGCTTCATTCTGGATGTACCCTACGATGTAGTCCCCCAAGTTCTTCATGTGCAAGAGGTTAAGGTCGTACCACAAGTCTCCTTCGATTATTTTAAGCACTTTGAATGTTCGGAGAGGACCTAGCTCTATGTCAGGGAGCTGGAACAAGGCATCCACCATGACATAAAAGATAACTTTGTAGCCAACCATGAAGTGCTTGTCAGCAGATCGTATGAACAGTTCCAGGTACTCATCTACAAACCTGTGAAACACACATGAGGGGAAAAAAAAAAAAGCAAGACATTGATTCTGCTAAACATTATCAGCAGCTCGTGTACCATCAAACATGCTGTCAGGTCCCTGGTGGCGCAAAGAGTTTGTATTCAACTGCTAGCCAAAAGGTGGGTGGTGGTTTGAACCCACTCAGCAGTATGGCAGAAGAAAAGGTCTGGCAATCAGCTTCCGTAAAGATGACGGCCTTGAAAACCCTGCGGAGCAGCTCTACTCTGTACACATGGGGTCGCCATGAGTCGGAATTGACAGCAACTAACAACAACAACAAACAAGCTGTCTAACACGTTGATGTTAAGGATGCCCGGGCAGTAAGGGTAGGGCAGTGTTGGTTGTATTGGCAGTGAAAGAGACGCAGCGAATCTGGGGACCTGAGAAGAGCTGTTACGTTTTGGAACAACTGTGGTGAGAAAAGAGGACAAGAGCCAAATGGGTCTTAGTGAGGGGATTCCCAAATAGGATTAAGGACCCAGTTAAGGGTAAGGAAAATGCCACTACAAATTTTTATTCGGGACAGCTAGAATAATGACTAGGGTTGATCGTGAATAGCTCTTTGGGTGTAGAAAGCCCACGGGTGCACCCACACCTTCCCAAAGATCAGGAGCACCTACCTGCCTACAGCAAACACAGCCAAGCCCACGGTGATGTTCTGCCTCTGGTAGTAGTCGTTCAGGACATGTCTATTGAACGTGCCTTCCCAGATGACCGGAGCACCCCAGTCAGTTGTTGTTATAACATCAGGGCGTTTGCTATTGAACAAACAGAAGCAGGTACCACTTTACCATGACTTCAGGAGTTATTGCTCAAGTGGTAACAGCTATTGCTTCTAGATTCTAACTCTGTGCCAGGCACGGTGTATAAGTGCATTAAATTAAAAATAAAAATAGTGACAACACTAAATGCTGGCGAGGATGTGGTGAAACTGGATTTCTCACACACTGGTGGTGGGAACGTAAAATGGTGCAGCCACTCTGGAAAACAACGAGGCAGTCTATAACACTAAACACGCAACTACCATATAACCCAGCGATCGTGCTCCTGGGCACGTTGGTGTTACTGGTGTTGTTGTTATTAGGTGCCATCAAGTCGGTTCCAACTCATAGTGACCCCATGTACAACAGAGTGAAACACTGCCCAGTCCTGTGCCATCCTCACCATCTTTGCTGTGCTTGAGCCCATTGTTGCAGCCACTGTGTCAATCTATCTCGTTGAGAGTCTTCCTCTTTTTCCTCTTGGTAAAGCTGACCCTCCACTTTACCAAGCATGATGTCCTTCTGCAGGGACTGCTCCCTCCTGATAAGATGTCCGAAGTACATAAGAGGAAGTCTTGCCATCCTTGCTTCTAATGAGCATCTTCCAAGACAGGTTTGTTCATTCTTTTGGCAGTCCATGGTATATTCAGTATTCTTCACCAACACCATAATTCAAACGTTTCAACTCTTCTTCAGTCTTCTTTATTCGTTGTCCAGCTTTCGCATGCATATGAGGTAATGAAAAACACCATGGCGCACCTTAGTCCTCAAGTGTTGCTTTTCAACACTTTAAAGTGATCCCTTGCAGCAGACTTGCCCAGTGTAATACGTCGTTTGATTTCTTGACTGCTGCTTCCAAGGGCGTTGATTGTGGATCCAAGTAAAATGAATTCCTTGACATCTTCAATCTTTTCTCCATTTATCATGTTGCTGCTTATTGGTCTGGTTGTGAGGATTTTTGTTTTCTTTACCTTGAGGTGTAATCCATCCTGAAGGCTGTGGTCTTTGATCTTCATCAGTAAGTGCTTCAAGTCCTCTTCACTTTCAGCAAGCGAGGTTGTGTCATCTGCATAACGCAGGTTTTTAATGTGTCTTCCTCCAATCCTGATGCCATGTTCTTCTTCGTATATCCAGCTTCTGGCGTGTATCCCAGACAAAGGAAAACACATTCTCATAAAACCTTGTGCACAAAAGATCATAGCAGCTTTCTTCATAATAGTCCAAACTGGACATAAGCCAGGTGTCTTTCGTTGAGCGAGTGATTAGACAAAGGGGTCCATACATATCACAGAACAGTAGTTAGCAGGGAAAAGGCACAAACTGTCGATGCACACCAAAGCTTGGGTGACGCTCGGGGAATCTTGCTGAGTGAAGCAAAGCCAACGCCAGTTTACATGCTGTGCAATTCCATTTATGTCACATTTTTAAAATAACAACATTTTAGAAATGGAGGACAGATGAGTGGTTTCCAAGGGTTAGGGATGGAGCTAGGCGGGAGGGAGGGAGGTGTGGTTAAGAAAGGGCCACGCGGGATCCTTGTGGTATTGGAACTGCTCAGTATCTTGACTGTTGTGGTGGCATTGTTGGAGGTCCTGACTCTGCCATGTCCTCTGATGTCCTCAAGAGACAAATCTTCATGCCGTTCCAATGGGCAGTACCACGTGCCAGAGAGCAAGGGGAGCTCTGGGAAGTTACATCAGGATACCCACTTTGGAAAATGGTCTGGCACTGTCTCCTAGGTTGGACATCCACATGCCCACCACCCAGCGGCCCCACTTCTACTCAAGTGAGACTCTCGCACACATGTGCCAGGATGTGTGTGTAAGGACCTTCACAGCAGCACTGCTCACAAAGCAAACACATAGAAACCATCCAAGCATCAGTGAACAGGACGGTGGGTGAACAACCTGGCGTACTTCCACACTGGATTATTATACAGCTGTCAAAATGAGCTCCAGCAACCAAGGGAAAGGGGAGGACCCAGAAGATTCCATACAGGATGGTATCTTCTTGATATGGTTATGAACAACTGAAATTTCAAAATAAGCTTTTTTTTCCAGAATACTTACAGATGAGATTAAATGAAGCAAGGGACAATGGACCAGAGTTCAGGGTGGTGGTTATTTTAGAGGTGGGGAGAGGGACAGGGCAAACGGATAGGGAGGGACACCAAGCTAGATGGAAGTTAATGAAGGCTGTAACATTTGTTTCCTTAAAAATAAACAAGCATAAAAAACAAATGTCCATCCACAGGTGGATGGATAAACAAAATGTGGTATATACATGCAATCGAGTATTATGCAGCCATAAAGAGAAATGAAGTTCTAAGTAGATATAGGAGTCTAAATGGGCAGCTTCTGTCTGGAGGTGAGATGAGAAGGCAGAGAAGGTCAGGAGCTGGTTGAATGGACACGGGAAATCAGGGGTGGAAAGGAGGAGTGTGCTGTCACAGTATAGGGAGAGCAGTTAGGGTCATATAACAATGTGTGTATAAATTTTTGTATGAGAGACTAACTTGAATGGTAAACTTTCACTTAACCTACAACGATAAAATAAGAGAAATGAGGTTCTGAGGTATGTCTCAACATGAATGAACCTTGAAAATGCTATGCTGAGATAAGTACAGTGGTGGCAAAAGGACAAATACTCTATAATCTCCCTTATATAAAACAATCAAATACACAGGAACCAAAGACTATGAGCGGTTACCGGGGTAGGAGGGAGGGGAAAAGGGAAGTTTTCATTTGGGGGCATTGAGTTTATGTTAATGGTGGTGCCATATTGTGGAAAAGGATAGTGATAATGGTGGCGCACGAAAAATGTAATCAATGTCACTGAATTGTGCATGTGAAACTTGATGTGCGGGCAAATGTTTTGGAGTACGTATTTTCACCACAACAACCGAAATTTAAAAACTAAAAATAAATAAATAAACAAGCAAGCTAGCAAATAACATAAGCGGGTTTTGCATGCACTAATGTTGAAAGTGTGTCATGAACCCTGGATTATGATTAATTCTATGCACCTGAGGTCCATTTAACACACATACATGTATTTATTTATAGGTCTGTGTGTGTCTGTATATATATAGGAGAAAGGAATTCACAGAAGATGAAACAGAAATGAATAATAAACATACGAAAAGATGTTCAAACTCAATAGTAATTACAGAAATGCAAATCGAAATGAGATACTTTCATTCATTTATAATAGTTTTGCCAAGAATAAAAGATTTCATAATACTTTATCCACTGTACAGAAGGAAATCAAATGGTACAATTATTAAAGAGCAATTTAACAACCCAAGTCAAAATGTGAAGTGTTTACATCCTTTGACCTGATGGCTCCATTTTAGGTATTTGCCCACAGATAAACTCACACAGCAGTGTACAAAAACATAGTATGCACAAGGTCAGTCACTGAGGTGTTACTTGCAATAGCCTCACAAACAATCCAAAATCTAGAGGGAATTGGTTAAATAAATTCTGGCATACACCGCACGATAGAATACGACATAACCACTCAAAAGAATGAAGCTGTCCCAAGGGTTAATGTCAAATCAAGAGGGGTAATGAGTGGAATTTTCAACTTGCTTCCAGAGAGATTTTCTCTTTCACCAAATAAACCAGAAGGTTAATCTAGCTAGACTGTGTCAGCTTTCTCATTGATGCTGTTGTCATTGGGTGCTATTGAGTCAGTTCCAACCCATAATGACCCTATAGACAAGAGAAAGAAACACTTCCGGTCCTGCGCCATCCTCACAATCATTGCTATGTTTGAGCCCAGTGTTGCAGCCACTGTGTTAGTCTATCTTGTTGAGGATGTTCCTCTTTTTCGCTGACCCTCTATTTTAGCAAGCACGATGGCCTTCTCCAGGGACTGTTCCCTCCTGATAACATGTCCAAAGTACATAAGACGAAGTCTCACCATCCTCCCTCCTAAGGAGAATTCTGGCTGTATTTTTCCAAGACAGATTTGCTTGTTCTTTCTCATTACCTCCCTGAATTACCTGATTCTTGATAAGTAGACCCTAGGTTTGTTTATAAGAGTTATAAAAATAAAAACTCCAACTTCTGGAAACCTCGCATGATTGCTACAATTTGGTGATGGAAAAAATAAAAATTAAAAACTACCATTTCAATTTGAGGTGTGCGTGTGTGCATGCAGATATTTTTGTTCTTACCTAGGATTAAACCAGTCTGAGAGTCGAATTTCTTTTACTTGATGATTCCTGGGTACAAAGAGAAAATGAAGTTACCACGAGTAACCCGTTCATGCAACAAATATTTACTGAGCCATGTGATGTGATAGGCGTTGCTTGGTGCTGGTTCTACAACTGAGCTCAGCTTCTGCCCGAGAAAAGCTTAGAACAGGGAAGACAACCTCAAATAAACAACTACAGTTTCTGCGTGTTCAGTGCTAACAGGAGGTGGCAGGGCTCTATGGGAGCGTATCAGTGGACATTCAACCCAAATTTGGGGTTGTAGGAAGCCACTTGGAGAAGAGATAACTCAACTGGGTCTGGAAGGGCATGTGCTGGTCCAGGAAAGATGTGTAGGGTGAGAGAGTCATGACCAAGTGCCTGAAGGCAAGAAAGTACGGCTGTTGAGAGAAAGATACCTCTATTAAAAATTAACAGGGCAGATAGGAGAATGTATATTCAGACAAAATGAAGACGTAATCAATTCATTTATCAAACCTTAGTGGCTTTGTTACGTGTTGATGTGAAAGGTTGGAAGAGGGGTCCAGATGTGTGTTTTTGATATTTAAATACAGGATTCATCTAGAGTTTTATTGTACTTCTCAGTTATCATTCAGTTAACAAGCTTATTAGGCAACTTCACTTTCAAAACCCTGGGATATTTTGTGAATAAGAAAAATAACTGTAAAAGTGCATCTCTTTCTGGTATTATTAGAGATATCTTTAACCACAGATATTTTACGATGGGATTTCATAGACTAGACAACTGTCAAAATTCAAATTGCCCATGCCAAAATTCATTAAAAACAGAAAGTGACAAAGAAGAACCTACTGAAAAATCATCAGTCATTTTAAGTGTTGGTCTTATTAATTTCTGGATTCCTACGAAATGGTCAGTGAGTAGAAAACATGGTTGGCTAGAGAGTGTTATCCTAATCTGAAAAAAAACATCATTCTTGACAGAGATGCTTAAACTATAATAAATGTCATACCCTGTCCCATGTAAGCTACTCTTCTCTCTCTTTCCATGCTGTATTCTTCAGGAGGAAGTCGCTATGTGCAGCCCACACTTCAGGAATGGGAAGTTATACTCTACCTTCTTTAGGGCAGAGTATCTGCAGAAATTATTTGGAGTTATTCTGCATGGGAATTTTGTCTCTTCTCCCCATTTTTTTATTCAATCATTTATTTATGTCAGTATGTATTCACAGATATTTTATATGTTAGGTTATAATCCAATGAAACATTTATTCTGTTTCTCAAATTTTTCCAGCTTTGGCCACTGGGGGCTCTTTCCTGTGTTCCTTCGAAATATCTCCTTCAATGTAAGGTTGTTGTTTTGTTTGTTAGTTTCAGGGAGTGGGAGAGGTTAGCACTTGGTTGCTTCCTGACACAGCAAGATGTTCCAGGTTCATCTTGTTTACTTCCTTGCCCCAGTCCTATAGTCAGCCATTTCTGCAAGGAGGCCTTGTTCCTTTTATTGGAGAACGGTGTTAGAAGCCAAGATCTGGGCACTATGTGTGCTCATAGCTACTGAGGTGTCTTTGCTTCTAGGCCCTCTCAGCTGATTGAGCAAAGAAATATATGTATGCTAACCTGTGTATACACGTATCTGTTAATATTTCTATATGTGACCATCTATATTTATATTAAGCTAAATAAGAATTCACTCTGATGTCTCCAGCTTCATTCTATTTCTGTATGAATCATTCTAGTCTCCAACCCCCACCCCACTTTGTTTTTCTGTAATCTCCCACACCAACAGTGAGAAACCTGTCTCCCACCACACACCATCCATCTACTCAATCGCTCAATTCCAGTACACATGTATATCAGAATTGTTAGCCCACACCTCCACGGGAAACAACTTTATCAACCCGAGTACAGTGGTTATGTACAGGTTCTATTGCCTTTAGTCCTACAGACTCCACTCAATCCAAAGTGACTTAGGTCAACACCTTTCCTTACCCTCTTTAGTAAGGTTGTTTCATAACTTTCTGATACAGTTAGATTATTTCATTACATTCTGTAATCCATCCCTCCATAGCCCCTTAAATGATTTTTTAATCTGCATGCATTAAGATTCACTCTTTGTGCTGTAAAGTTCAATTTAACTGATGTGTAGTGCCATGTACCTACCATTACAGTATCATATAAAATAGTTTCACTGCCCAAAAATGTCCCTTGTGTTTCTCCCTCCCTCCTCCAACCCCAAGCCCCTGGCAACTACTCATCTTTTCACTGTTTATAGTTTTGCCTTTTCCAGAATGTCATATAGTTGGAATCAGACCATATGTAGACTTTTCAGACTGGCCTCATTCAGCCATACAAACAATACACATTTAAGACTCATACATGCCTTTTTGTAGCTTGGCTTGTTAGCTCATTTCTTTTTTATCACTGAACAATATTTCATTTTATGGCTGTATCATAGTTCATTTATCCATTTACCTACTGAAGGATATCTTGGTTGCTTCCAATTGGGGCAAATTATGAATAAAGCTTCTATAAACTTTTGCATGCAGGTTTTTGTGTGGGCATAAAATTTCAAATCTTACATTGGGCAAATAGCTAGGAGTGCAATTGCTGGACCATACGGTAAGACTATGCTTAGCTTTGTAAGAAACTGCCAAACTCCCTCCAAAGTGGCTGTACCATTTTATACCCCCACCAGCAGAGAACAAGAATTCTTACTACTCCACATCCTTGCCAGCAATTGGTGTTGTCAGGGTTTTATTTAAATCTTAACCATTCTAATAGCTGTGTAGTGGTATCTCATTGTTTTTATTAATTTGCAGTTAATTAATGACAAATGACGCTGGGCATTTTTTTATATGCTTATTTGTTTGCCAGCTGTATATCTTCTTTAGTGACGTGTCTTTTCAGATCTTTTGCCCATATTTTAATTGGGCCTTTCTTTTTTTTTTAATTGCTGAGTTTCAAGAGTTCTTTATATGTTTTGGATATTGTGTGTTTGGAAGGGGTTAATTTTCAAAGACATTATCTCTCACAATTATAGCTACTTTTCAGATAACGTTTGGGAGCCCTGCATTGCTTATAAAGAAGACCGTGAGGAGGAAAAATTTTTCTATATAAGAAAATTTTAGCAGGTTAACAAATTTGTCCCCCAGTAGACTTGTGTTTCTCCAGCAAGTTGTTTTTAGTCTAGTTTACATCAGACACAAAGGCAGCACTTTGAGGTAGTGTTTTCATGACATTTGTATATAAAATATGGTATCCTTTTCATAGTTTTTTACACGTGCTTACTGTCGCTGTTCTCCACCTACAGTAAAGTTCTGTGAGAACAGGGCTGGTCTGGGTGATCGCTGCCTCCCCAGCACCTGGCACAGAACCCGACACCGAGGAGGTGTTGATAAATGCGTGCTGGACCCTGGAACGTGCTTGTACTTCGATTTCTCCCCCAAAGAAGAGAGATTTTCTAATTAATGTAGAAGGTGTTATTAATATCTTTGGGCAAAACTCAAAACTCGGCTGTTTAAACAATCTCTGATCACTATAACAATCCATCAATATTTTCTATTTACCTGAAATGGCGCTCAACCAACAGCAGTGATAAAAGAAACGAAATCAGTAACAGCATTTTTCTATTAGATCTCATTCTCTCCTGGGGGAAAAGGAGAGAAAGAAAACTTTAAAAAGTAAAAAAAACTACATCTTTCTTACCTTCTGTCTTAGTCATCTAGTGCTGCTGTAACAGAAATACCACAAGTGGATGGCTTTAACAAAGAGAAATTTATTTTCTCACAGTCTAATAGGCTACAAGTCCAAATTCAGGGCATCAGCTCCAGGGGAAGGCTTTCTCTCTCTTTCAGCTCTGGAGTAAGGTCCTTGTCATCAGTCTCCCCTTGGTCTGGGAGCTTCTCTGCACAGGAACCTCAGGTCCACAGGACACGATCTGCTCCCAGCACTGCTTTCTTGGTGGTATGCGGTCCCTCTTCTCTGCTCTCGCTTCCCTTTCCTTTTTATCTCTTGAGAGATAAAAGGTGGTGCAGGTCACACCCTAGGGAAACTCCCTTTACATTGGATCAGGAATGTGACCTGGAAAAGGATGGTGTTACAATCCTACTCTAATCCTCTTTAACATAAAATTATAGTCACAAAATGGAGGACAACTACACAATACTGGACATCATGGCCCAGTCAAATTGATACATACATTTTTGGGGGGACATAATTCAATCTATGACACTTTCCAACAATGATCTAATTTATGGGCATTTGGGCAGCAATTAGGTGTCTGCTTCCAGAATCCTCCACCTTCGGAAGAAGGCAGACTCGAGGCAGAGAACTTCTGTTCCAGTTGAGGTGCCTACAGAATCCTGAAGGGGGCTGACTGGTCCTTTCCGGGTAAGGTGCACAGGGTCCCCAACACTCCTGGCACTCTTTCATCAAATCCACGTTGGTTGCATAAAAAAATTGAAAAAAACCCTCGCTGTGAAGCTGTGAAAATATAGTGAGGTAATTATGAGGAAGTCCTCCCGGACTGGGATGCATTCTGCCTCAAAAGTTGACTTCTAATTCTTTTTCCCTCACAAAGATAGTAAGACTGATAATTTGTCCCAAGACTACTGTAGTCTAAAATACATGTGCTCTCTCAAGAGCAGAGGATTGTAAACAGTGATGGAAGTCTAAATTGAAGGTATTGAACTCCAAACTGGAATCTGGGACTCCAGCCAACACACCAAACTGGTGTTGGTGGTTTACAGAGAATTTCTATTTACAAGGCTAAGCCAGTCTTCTATGAGGTCATGACATTGAGCTGTGTGTTAAATGAAAGTCACTAATGTTTAATTTCGAACACTGATTTGCTGGGCTAAGATCTGCACTGACCAATTCAGTGACCACCAGCCCCAGGCCCCGCTGAGCACTTGAGATGTGGCCGCTGTGATCTGAGACAGGTGTGAGTGTGAGACACACACTGGGTTTCAAAGACTCAGGATAAAAAAAAAAAAGGAAAATATTCCATTAATAATTTTTATGCTGATTGCGTATTGAAATGATAGTAATATGGGTACACTCACTGGGATAAAATATATTATTCATTTTAATTCACCTATTTCTTTTCATCTTTTGTAATGTGGCTACTAGAAAATTTGACATTACTCACGAGGCTCACATTTTATTTCTACCGGAAAGCTCTTCTTTAGATAACGTCACACTGGGCAGGTTCCAATTAAGCTGAATCTTCGTGCCACCACAATGTGAAATTGTTCACCTCCTAAAGCCAAAAGCCTTAGAAATACCAGATGAGTGGGGTAAGATGGGGGTCCATCTGGCCACACCACCTCCAGCAATGAGCCCTCGACGACATCATTCGGAAGGCTAGTGGCATGGTGATACCTCACCTGTTCTGTACAACGTCTTTGACTTTACCCACCCATGACTTTATATGAGCAGCCATACTGTCATAAGTCCCTTGGATTAAAAAAAAACAAAAACAAAAAACCGTTGCCATCAAGTTGATTCCAGCTCACAGTGACCCCATACGACAGAGTAGAACTACCCATAGGGTTTCCAAGGAGTGGCTGGTGGATTCGAACTGCCGGTCTTTTGGTTAGCAGCCGAGCGCTTAACCACTGCCCCACAGGGCTCCATACCTGAGGTAGGGTGATATAAGGAGGCAGCCAAAGAGGTCCTAGGGGCACAGACGTGCTCTAAGCATCATATCTCTGCGTCTTTGTAAAATCGTGCCCCCGAGCCTGTGCTCTATGCTGGTGGTGTTTGAGTCTTCTGTTAATGGTGATGTCACCAGGCTCCTTTGATGAGGCAACATTAGAAAGTCGAGCTCATAATGACACAGCTGCCAGTAGGTTCTTCTCGTCGTCACCAGACGGCTGGGCTTCGTCTCGGGTGAAACAGCAAAGGATATTTTAAAACGTTTTTATGCTTCTAGTTTACTTTGTTGTACCTCCTTGCTGTCTTCAAGACTGACTCTCAGTTACGGAGAGATGCCTGGAATGGTGTGAGTGAGTTTATGGATAGGACAGAGAAGAAGAGCAACCTCTACACCTTCCTTCACTCTCTTTTATCACTGCCTCCTTACCCCAGGGAGAGCGAATCCCGTCTTGTGCTCTTCCTTAGAATATTTGTTAAGTGAATATTTTTCTGATGATGAAAATACAAGTTTTCACGTTATAAGACCTGCCAGATGCATGAAAGCACAAAGAAGAAAATGATCACATACAAACCTGCCATCTTCACTTGGGTCATAAAAAAAGAAAACAAACAAAAAGCCATTGCTGTCGAGTTGATTCCGACACATAGCAACCCTATAGGACAGAGTGGACTGCCCCATGGGGTTTCCAAGGAGCAGCTGCTGGATTCGAACTGCCAACATCTCACTTAGTAGTCAAGCTCTTAACCACTACAGCACCAGGACATACCTTATTTTTTGTCCCTCCCCTTTTAAAATAAGTTTCTCTTATTGAAAAAGTAACACATACATGGTAAAAACAAACAAAAAAATCTAACAGCGGAAAGAGTTACATAATGCACACCAAATCTTCTTCTACCCCAGCAGCTGACTCTCCACCATCCACCCCCAAAAGCAGACACAGTAACAGCCCTTGAGTTTTATTCCACAACCCATCTGTGCATATGTTCTTCTTGGTGCCGTCGAGTCAATTCTGACTCATAGACACCCTATATGACAGAGTAGAACTGCCCCCATAGGGTTTCTGAGGCTGTAATCTTTACAAGAGAATATTGCCAGGTCCTTCCACCACAGAAGCTACGGGTGGGTTTGACTTTTCGGTTAGTAATATGAGTGCTTTAACCATGGCACCACCAGGGCCCCTTCCTGTGCATCTAGACAGAGATTTTGCCTGCAGTTCCTCCTTCACACAAACAGTGGCATGCTTCAGCACCTTGTGTACCTCATCCCCCACTGCATGTCATTTACAGTCTAGGTGGGGACAGATGCTAAGCAGGTAAACAGAAGACCCTGAAGGTTCCCAGACAGGCATTTGGGACAGGAAAGGGGGTGGTGATAGATTGACGGAGAGGCTATGTGTCATGAGGAGTTGGCCAGAGGTCCATCACACCTCAGATAAGCTGACCTTGTTCTTCTCCACAGCTGACTGTATACACCACAGGAACAGGTCAGTTCGTTTAACCAGTTTCCTATTACCAACATTTTGGTTGCTCTCTGTCTTTGCTATCACAAGAAACACCACAGTAACACTCCTTGGACATGCTCCCGGAGCACATGTCAAACTATATCACAGGACTGAGTCCTAGAAATGGAACTGCTGGGTCAACGATTACACTCATTGAAAATGTAAGTTGCTTTCCATAGAGGTTAAACGGGTTTCCGGCCAACATTCATGGGTCAAAGTGCCTGCTTCCCCACACCCTCAACAACACAGCGTGCTGTCTGTCCAATTTGGGGCAGTTGACAATCTGATGGGAGTGAAATGGCACCTCAGAGTAGCTTTAATTTGCATTTATTTTATTATGACTGTTGTTTTTCCAGTTGTTGTCGAGTCCACTCCAACTCACAGTGACCTCACGTGTGTCAGAGTGGAACTGTCCAGAAGTAGATCACCAGGCCTTTCTTCCAAAGTACCGTAGTAAACCCAGGAATAAGCAGAAAACCCAAATATATTGATAACCACGGGAGAATCGAAATAAGGTTAACCCTCTGCCGCACAAACAGCACCAAGACTTTCAAGGAACAGATAACGCCATTTTCCCACTGCCCCGAGCATCAAGCCAACTGCATGCTAAGAGGCAGATTTACAAGGTAAAGGAGAGGCGCCCAGTGGAGGACATGCGGGCACTGTGTCTGTCTTATCCAGGCGCCTGGGGAGCAGGCGTGCAAAAGGGCAAGCTCAGGCAGCAGGACCTGACAGACAGCAAACATCTCTCACATGCCGGGGGTGCCTCACCTGGCACCTCGGGCCCGAGGAAAGCTGGCCAGGAGCTGGCGGGAGCTGAAGACTGGGGCTGGCCACAGCAAGGCTTCTCTGCATTCGGGGTGGTCCCACCTCTTCCCTCCCTGCTGATACTACTCCCATAGTTCATTCCTACATTCATTCATTTATTTAGCACTTTGATATTTGCTAAGGCCTGGAACTCAGGCCAGACAGCGGATTTCAGGATAAAAAAAGCAGCCCTAGCCTCACCCCCAACTCCATGTCACTTATAGTGTAGGTGGGGATGGATGCTGAGCAGGTAAACAGAAGATCCTGAAGGTTCCTAGACAGGTGTTTGGGACAGGAAAGGGGGTGGTGATAGACTAGGGGAGAGGCTGCGTGTCCTGAGAAGTTGGCCTGAGGTGAACATCTCAGATGTCTCCTAAAAATATATGTTGGAATCCTAACTCCTGTACCTGTAAATATGACCCTGTTTGGAAATGCAGATTCCTTTTGTTATGTTAATGAGGCATGTCAGAGCAGGGTGGATCCAAGACCAAATCCCTTCTGAGCTATAGAAAGAATAGAATAGACACAGAGACACACACAGAGGAAAGACAGATGCCAAGGATGCTGTCATGGATTGAACTGTGTCTCCCAAAAAATGTGTGTCAACTTGGCTAGTCCGTGATTCCCAGTATTGTGTGATTGTTCACCATTTTGTCATCTGATGTGATTTTCC